ATGGCTAAGCTGACACTTTGACAGACATCATAGTCACCAGCATGAAGACCATTTAAACGCCAAATGAGGAGGAACCCTTATACGAATAAAATACCAGTATGCATATCAAACTGGTATGCCCCGGGCACTCCCCTGACCTGCACCCCAAAAATGTCTTCGCTCTCGTGCCGCTTGAGGAGTGCCCACTCCGACGACTGGCCCTGCAGCAGATTGGTGCACATGGCCATTTCACCGCACGTGACGTCAGCTCCGAAGCGCTTGCACACGCGGCGGAAGGGGAGGTTCCCGCACTGAGGGAGGAAGGGAGAGAACAGGCATGGGAGCGCACTCCCTCACACGGCACCGAAACACACTCTAACGGGAGCTTCCATTTACTCACTGTGGTTAAGGGGGCCAGATACAGCTTATTTCTGAAATCCACCTTAAAAAATAAAAACAGAAAGTTAACCGTTACCTCCATAGGTCAAAAGAAATGTTTAAAATAAATTTTAACCAAAACTATAGTTTTAGAACATTTCATATAATCTAATAATAATCCAAGACAATCAAATGACAAATACACAGGCAGACCAATTGCTATTTTTTCTGGGGTTTTTTTAAGCTACCCTTCTGATTCAGCCTTCTCTGCCTACTAAGAAGGGCCAGACATCTCCTCTTCTCTGCAAATCCTACACTGCAGCAGAGATGAAACACCAAGAACTGCTTCCACAGGCAGCCAATGGATCTCAGGCACCCTGGCAAGTCGATTAAGCAGCGAGAAGCTGAGCGAGAAGCTGAGCGAGAAGCTGAGCGAGAAGCTGAGCGAGAAGCTGAGCGAGAAGCTGAGCAAGAAGCTGAGCAAGAAGCTGAGCAAGAAGCTGAGCAAGAAGCTGAGCAAGAAGCAGAGATGCCCTTGCTGACTATTCCCTCCCCTGCAGTACAACAATGCTAATTAGCTCCATCACCACAAGGTTCCCGATCAGTCGGGAGAGTAACAAAGCCCGCGATCCAGCTGTGATCTGAGCCGACGGGCTCAGTCTGTCCTCAGGCGAAGCGCCTTAACAAACAGAGCCACACAGGAGGTCCTGCAGAGTTTGCTTTGTGAAGTTTCCTGTTGCAGCAGGGACACGGCAAAGCTGAGACAATGACAGACCACGAGGTTCACTTTGGAGGATCGCGTTCAGAGTAAATAAATTACTCACTTTTGCAAATCTTTTATTGAAGTGGCTTACTCAAACAAATCCCCGAGAAAATAAATAAAACACAACAAAATTAAATGTCATGCAAAGTAACTGTGATACGCTAGGAGCAGCACAGTGGTTCAGTGGGCGTGCTGAGGCCCCCCCCCCGCCAGGGCCCCCCCTGTGTGTGCAGAGCTCACATGTTCTCCCCATGTTTGCGTGGGTTTCCACCCACAGTCCAAAAACATGCAGTTAGGACAGCAGTGGGCATTCTTACCCAGGAAGCATATGCGGGTTTTCACTGCAGCTCCCTAATTATATTACTAATAAGAGGACTGATTGACTGAAGAGTCCTCACACCTGGGTTTGAACAGCTGACCTAAAGGTTATCTCAAAAACTTGCATACACACCGGCCCTTTCTGGATAAGATTGTCCACCCCTGAGTTAGGAGATCTGACATCTTTGGATTACCAGCACTGTGCAGGTTTGCGTCCCTGGGGAGCCTATGCTGCAAACTGCATTACTGCTGCAGAGCTGCTAATCTTTGCAGTCCATTATTAAAACGAAGTTTCAATGCACCGAGCACTTGGATAACAATCCTTCAGAGGATTGCCCAGCTGTCTAAATGCTCAATATCAGCTTCTCTCAAGTGATGCTGATATTTTTACTGCCAGTCTTTATCTAATCATTAATCACAATGACATTTCTGCATCAGAGAAGGAAGAAATTACGTTACATTGTTCTATTATGACTGATTGTGCCACAAAAGAATACCACTGTACTTCTTCCATTAGAAAAAAAAAGGCAGATTTAAGTTCGACAGGATACGGAGTTGTTATGCAGTGCGACTAGCCAAAAGAATAGGCCTGAGGTTGCCAATCAAAGACCGAAGATTGGGTGAGACCTACCTGCTTCTTCTCACAGGGACGCAGTTTTATGACATCAGCATCCGTCAGAGGACCAGTAGTCTTGACGGGAGCATTCTGCCCTGAGCTATCTGGCGACATCTCAGAGGAATTCACATCTGCAAGTTCCCTGCAGGAAGTAGTTTCCTCACAGTCCGCTCCACCAGCACCCAGACCTTCGGCTCCCGCCCGTATCACTCCGGTTGCCGTAGACCCTACGGTGTCTGCTGGGGCAGCCCCTGCCATAGTGCGGTTCGGAGCCGCCCCCCCAGCTGTAGGGGCCTCCCCATTGGAGCATGTCTCTGCCTGGTTGTCAGCCTGGTTCTTCTTACATCCTCCTTGATCGGCACCTTTGCCGATCGTCCTCAGGTACACCTCCGAGGCACCGAAAGGCACCTGCCTCTTTCGTAGACGCTTCTGAAGGCCTTTGTCCAGACTGTTCTTCACAGTAGGTCTCCCCTCGGTCTTTGTCAGCAGCTCCTCGTTTACCAGGTTCTTGAAGGAGCCGTCCACATGGGCCTTGGAGTACCTGCAGGTCACACCGTAGGGGCACTTTCCGAAGGTGCTGAAGAGGTGACAGTGCTCTCCGACATCGGCGGGCTTCAGAGACATGTACTCAGCTACATCATGGAAGAATCTGCATCTCTCTCCAAAAAAGCAGCTGGTGGTTCGCTCCTGAATGAGCAAAAACAGCTTTAGCAATGCTTGAACACAACTGGCGAAAGTATGTTTTTGTAGCAGATATACTTTCAAATACCTGAATTATGGAGGGACACAGCCGCATGTCATCATAACTGTGTGGTTTCATGTGCGGCCTGGATTTAAACTGCCCCCTGGCTCTCTTTTTGTCTTGTTTTCCCTTGCAGTCTTCTGCCGGTCCCTCCACTTTTACTTTTTTCTCTGGTGGTTCACAAGTCTGGTCCAGAGAGTCCTCTGGGCTCTCTCCTTTGGGGACAGTTTCTTCATTTCCCTTACCAGCGCTTTCCCTCTGCCATCCTGAGTCAATAAACTCATGGAATTTTTCTTTGGTTGTATGATATCTACAAGGAAAGTCACTTAGTGCAAACAAGAACGAGCACAAGGCAGACACAGGACATACGTACACATAAACATCCAATTCGTTTGTAAATTTTGATTTAATCCTCAACTTACTGTGTTTTGATAGCTGCCGCACCCCTGTCACTGCTGACATCTGGATTCTTGGCAGTACCGTTGCTAATCGTCTCATCCATTGGTGATTTCGAGTTTCGAGTAGGTTACCTAAATATGCCTGCACCTCCTCACCAACTTGTCATTAGTTGGGAAAATAAAACACGACGATTAGTTGTTAAATGCATGTCAGCTAATTACAAAGTCTTTCTACAATCGATTCTAGATATATGGTTACTCATAATGAAAATTGAATGCTTAGAATATGATTAGAAAACCCAAACATTTAACCACACAAGTATCAATTTCCCAGTGTATGCACAAATAACATCATTATACAGCTACGATTTCACAAACCTAAAAATGTATCTTACAAATGATCAGGCGGGAGAAAAGGACAAATAAAAGACTTCGATCAGTTACGGTTAATTAAGACAGCACGAACCTCACAGTAAAGTAACCGGTTCCAGGGTAAAACCACGACGCACCACGCCGCTTCCCCGCGCTGTCAGCTAAACACGCCGTAAGCACGCAGACACACGTGACGAGCCGGTGCGCTGTCGCCCCTGTTCCGTGTAGCACTCTACACCCCTTGCCATTTTGGTTCCTACCGTAACCTGTGGAGCGGGCTTTTATTCCGAGACCAGAAATAATAGCAACATCACGTTCAGTTTCTCCTACGAAATCTAAAATTCAATTTTTACTTTACATGTCAAAAATGCCACACCCAGCAAAGGACAAACCACTTCAGGGATGGAAACTCAAGTGCAGCAGGTGATATCTCAGCACTACACTAGTTTTAATTGATGGAAGTGTTTTTTCCCAGTGCCAACTCTACCACCAACCTGCATATTTCTCCTGGAAGTTGGAGGACCTCCTTGCTGGGCAGGATGTAGATTGACATACTCAGGATTAAGCAATTGCAGGTTAAAGGCCGTGCTCAAGGACTCCACTCCACTGTTATATATGGGATTCAATCCGGCAACCTTCTGATTGCCAGCACAGATTCCTAGCCTCAGAGCAACCACCCTGCAGATTCACATGGATATATACAGAATATTTAGGACCAAATCTAACCCATTTAGAAACTGCATATTCTCTCCTCCCCCTCCCTCCGACAGATGTAAACCCCCCACACCAAGAACTGGAAGTTCATTACTTCCAGTCACTTATTTTTCACCAGTACATACTATCTCACTGTGTTACATTCATGTCTTCATATTTGTCTGCATTTGTCATTTTCTATGCTGAGAATCCTCATTGCTAAGTGGCGTTTCGTTGTTTTAAAAACAATGACAAAGATCCATCCTATTTACCAAACATTCTCTTCCAATCAGACCAATTAAAACCTTAAATCCTTTTCATTTGCCCACACATCCATTACTATTTTTTTTTTTAAAGCTGAGTTAAATCAGTAGTTTCTAGCGTTTGTACTGCATTGCAAAGGCAGGCTATTTGCATTAGTGACCGACCACATCAAGTCCCACCCTAAAGAACCCCATCTGGTTTGGTACTTTAGCTACTGGTATCCTACCAATGATAACTAGTACAGTGAAAGCATGTGACGATGTAACCCAAAGTATTTAAAGGGAATACTAGTGTAGATGTAGGGCAAACAGTAATCAAGGTCATTAAAGGTGTCTCTGGCAAAGACATCCTAAATGGAGGCTTATGTACCAGATCTCAGCTCCCAAAACAGTCAGCAAAGAATTAAGTGATATGATGGTTTGGTTGTTCACATATGGGCCTGTTAATCCGTAGAATCCATCAACAATCATACACCAATTAACCAGAGGTAAAAAGTTTATTAACACTTCAAAATAACCAAACATGACAAAGTACACAGGTGAATTCGGAATCTCTCTCCGGTCCACGGTTTATGCTGGGGGGGAGAAAAAAAAAAAAAAAAAAGTATGAACTTAAGCTTTGCTATTGGACATTGGAAAGCAAATGAAATTGGAGGAATACATTTACCTTCACCAAAGCAACGTTCGTCACAAGATCTCTCAGAGGGTAAGCACACTTCAGTGTGGCACATGAAGTACATCTGGGAGGGACAAACCAGACTGATACACTGTCGTGCAGTTTAAGGGTCTGTGCATGCAGACAATTCAGGTATGGTCCTCTCACCTCTTCATCTAGGAACTTCTTGGATTTCAGATCTAAGAACTGAAAAGTTCTGATCTCAAAGCGACGCCGCTGTTTGGACTGAGGCAGGCCTTTGCCATAAAGGATGGAGGCTGAGCCATCCAGTTTATTGGGACACCTTGGGAATTGAAGGTGTAGATCAGGGTTATTCAACTCACGGTCCTCGAGGTCCAAGCACTGTTGGTTCTCCAGCCTTCCTTTACCTGTCAGTCAGGTGTGAAGCCTCTGACCAATCAGAATCAGTAATTATTAAACTAACTACCTGGGAGAACTGAAAACACGGCCTGGATTTGGAATCGAGGTCCAGAGTTGAAGAACCCTGTTATAGATTAACACAGGGAATGGACACGCACACACATACCCTTCATGTATTAGGACCAAAGCATTTGTTGCAGAGCGTGGATAGGCAACACAGTAGTGCACCAAGATCACTGCAGAGCCATCGCTGGTACTCAGGTGCAACTCCAAAAACACAGACTTTCCAAGCAGAAGTTTGAGGGGCAGATGATCTCGAGAGTAGAACTTTGTGAACGTGCGATCTGAAAGACAGCCATGTTAGCCTCACGGAGTGCTGGACCTCTAAATGCCACCTGAGGAGAAAGACCTACCTGCTGCAATCTTCAATTGTACATTATACAATCCACTAGATGTCACAGTCAAGGGCCAACTCGGACTTTTAACCACATATCCAGAGGTAATGAAGAAAGGCATGCCCAAAGCACCACTCTTTGAATAGCGACATTCTACCAATAACCTGTAGGAACAAACCCAAGAGGGGAGGAAAAAATAAAAAAAATTTAAAATTACCATCATCCAAAAATGTGACTCACTATCACATTTGGAAGCTGTCTATGTAGCCATTTCAGAACAACCCACAGGCTTCTCAAGTAATCACCACTGACCTAAAATAAGGATCCCGTGTGATGGCGCCGAATTTGAGATTGTACACTTTAATGTTCGACTGTATTTCTGCCATGTACACCACTGTATCCCCCAGCGTCTGGAGAAAGGAGAACGTTGACATTCCAGCAATAAGGCATGAAGCCGGTCAAAGGTCAGGCAGTGTGTGAAGTAGTTTATAGGAGGGAATCGCACATATTTTTGTGGGAGTTGTACTGAAAATGTTCTGAGCAGAAAAAGTGGTAATCTCTGAACCAATCAGATTGTAGATGAGGTGGGACCAACCAATCTGATGCTCTGACCCACTCTTTTCAAATCTAGTCAATTTTAATTCATCTACTTACATAAGAACGAGTCCCACACTCAGTCACTGAGAACTTGAAGACCGCAAAGTCACGGGACCGAATAACTGGAGCGCATCGGTCCTTTCCCGCTACCACCAAGTTGGAGGGATCCATGGGATATGGCTTTTCAGCACGGCCAACAGCAACCACAAAGTTCTTGTCTGCCGTGCATGCTGAAGAACAGAAGAGGCAACAGTGCGTTCAATTCAAGAGACATTTCAGCTTCACAAGTTTGTCTCCATTTTGGAATGCTTACCATCCATTGGATAGAAACAAGAGGACGTTTTAGGATCTACGCAGCAGCCTTTAGCCAAGCACAGAGATGCAGAAATCCCAGAGGGACCACAACGTAAACGATGACTCTGAGGGATCTTGCAGCCTTGCAAGACAAACCCAGAATTTAGACAGCATTTATAGATCGTTAGAAGGCATTGGAATGCAACGTTAAAATTTACATACCCACTTTTGGTACATTTTTACTGGGTACGTTATTCAAGATACTGGGTACGTTATTCACAATGGGAGCAGGAGGTATTTTAACATCGAAATTGGGTTTTCCACCCCAAGGCAGCCGCTGGGGTGTAGTGAACTGTACTTGTGTAACAGGAGCACTAGTGCTACGGCACACTGAAACAAACGGCCCCGATCTAGCCATATCCTTTTGCAAAGGTTCATCTGCCTGCGGCCTCTTCAGCGGTGCCAAAGGAGGTTCGGAGGAAGGCAGTTCATCAGTACAGGATGCATCAATGTCACCATTTTGTCCATCAAAGGTCGAATAAACCAGCTTCACAGTGTACAGTCTTTTCTAAAAGAGATTTCCAATGAGAAGGTTGAAGCTGCACGAACATTTCAGGAGACACTTAAAACGGCACAGGCAGTTTACCTTAAGAGTGACATGACAGCCCGTAAAGGAGATGCTCAGGGTATTATGATCCAGACCCTCTTTCATAGAATACCCACAAGACCCAGCGAGCGCTACTACAGGTATAAGCCCTTCAGATCCTTAAAAGAAAAAACGCATTTACCTACTGGGGCAGAGAATATAGTTTGGCGGTTTCTTTATCCAAAAAACCGGGAACAGCACACCTTACCCTGAACTTTGATTTTTTCCTTTGGCCCAGAAGGCAGCCTCACAGTCATTTTCTCGTCAGAGCAGAAGACTGCAAATCCTTCAGATGATTTCTTTGGCAAAGGAAACTTATAAATTTCTTTAATAAGAGCAGGTCCTGCTACGTTTCCCAACTCCAGATCACCGTCACGGTCTGAAAAGTACTCGACCGTAGAAGAAGCATTATGTAAATCTCGTAGATGTGTTGTGATTTTACTTTCAGGGTAGTCATAATCGTTATCAGAATACGGATAAAAGGCCACATCAGGTTCATCCAGCAATTCACCAGTGAAACTACTTTGGTATCCGTGCATTCGTTCTAATCGCTGTGCTTTAGTCAGTTCAATGCAAACCGAACTCAACAGTAACAACACTAAATTTGACATTCTTCTCCAAGCCATGAACACACAGACCGCGGTAGTTTAAAAGCTAGCAGTAAAACGTCGTATACCGCACAACGACGGCTTGCTGAAGCGGGTAAAATAGCGCCCACGTGGCCATGCAATGAGCGCGTGCACCTGATACCAGCCAGCATTCTCACGTGCTCACGCTGCTGTATCCATCGCTGCGTCGCTGCTTACGTGCTTACGCCGTAAAACCGAACTGACGTCATCTGTGTATAGTAAAGAAAACAGCCAGCTTAAATAACAGTCAGATTCAAACGTGATTCTGCAAAGTTACAATCGCTACTGGTTTATAAAAGGCACAAAACCATCGGAATGCGCCAACTGATGCACCATCCAGACACTGGGTATGTTAAAGCAGCGATTCTCAACCCATGGGTTGCGACCCTAATTTGGGTGGCGGCAAGACTAGGAGGCGGAGTTGGAAATATAAGCATTTTAGAACCACCAAGCTACTTCCTTGATCAACGATCAGATTTCTCAACCCCAGTCCTAGAATGAACCTATATAAACTGGTCTTGGGTCTACAAATGCTTACCGTAAAACTTGTGAATATACTCAACCAATAAAGGAGCCAAACCACAGATGCTTAATTTAAAATTCACTGGCACATCCAATCAGATTTGTGCGATTGGCATTGATTCACATCAAAATTGGGTCGCGGTGCAAAAAAGGTTGAGAACCACTGTGTTAGAGCCACACCTCCAGCTCTTGTACACTGTGACAGTATCAAACTGTTCTTGTGGGTAGTAGAATGCTGTGAAAATATGCGATAACAGCCTCATCACGTTAATAACCTTTTGTCAACCAACACGCTAAAATGTATCACAATGTGGTAATGATTAAATTAATATAACGTCATCAATACACGCAGTTAAATTCATATACATTAAGGTAGGCCTACTAAAATTGTTTTACTGTTTTAATCTCAACAAAGACTCAAGCTGTGTCCTAAATACATCCCACAATTTTTAATATTTAACCATAGAATTTACAGTTCGCACATACAAATATGACCCAAATTGCTTCAGTATCACTTAACTGTGGTTCTACCCTTGTGTAGCACAATTGACTTGCAAGTTCACTCGCCGTGGAAGATTGGAACACCCCTTAGCGACCGGAACTTCCTAATTGCGTCACCGGTTTCAGCGTGTGGTTACGCTATGCTAGATGCTGCTACAGCCGGTTAACCGGTGCTTATTATAGTGTTATCGGGGCTCTCGTCTTTGCTGTGCTGGTCGCTGATGTCTGTATAGCTAGGACTTTAGTCCTTCTGATGCTCCAGAGCATCGTTTTTTTGAACAGTAACAAGTGCCTTCAAAAGTCTTCTAGGTAACTGGCTAATTCCGCTAAGCTATGTACCACCAATATGTACAGTAAAGTATTAGTCACTATATTAATAGTTTTGTTCGCATTCGCTTTTAATTCGATTTCGGTTCCTCCCGATTTAATCCCACCGTATATTATGAGCGTCATGTACCGACGCATCATCGCCCTATCACAAGGTGAAGAATCGCTATGTGTTTGCAAGAAAACGGAAGAAAAGGGGAATTTGCATGCTCGAATTGACATATGCGCTGCATATTAGCAGGTCTTAAATATGTTTATACATGAAACCTGGTTTCTGGTTCCTTGGCAGCGTCGCGTTGTTGCACCATTTACATGTGTGCACGGTAAGGTGATTAAGTGTTGCGGTTTGTTACATCAGACTTGGAAACAATCTGGCTGTGATATTTGGTAGCAGTTACTATCTAACTGGACGCTGTGACCTTTGGTAAAAGTTACTGGTAGTTGATTTGGTTCCCATTCTCCTTTCGGTTTTGCCGGTGTCAGCACGATGGGTGGAGTCAGCCTTTATAATCCGTGTTAAAGGTTTCGTTTTCTCAGCAGTACAAAGGTTTACCTTCTTTGATCTGCAGGATTTAGGGTCCCGGCTTAGAGTCAAGATGTCCTGTCTCCCAGCGCTGTTTAAGTACGTGGATGAACACCAGGAGGAGTACATTCAGGTGGGAAATTCAGACGCTTGGTCATGTTTAAGCCATGCTCTGTGTCAGACAAATCTGTACTGACCATTTTAGATAACGTAAATGATGTTAAAGATATTGATGTTAAATCCTGTGGCCACCAATCGAATTCATTTGCTTTGAGGTGATTTAATGCTTCTTAAAATTTATGCTTAGGAGTTCACATCCTTGTCACGTCTTGTGATTCGACAGTGACACATTCTTTCAGTGCTGGTTCACTCTTAAAACGGGAATAGAAACTTTTTTATTGTAAAAAGTGCCGATTTGCACATTCTCTAATCTCCTGATAATAGCAGCTGTGAAAGAGGAAGGTGTAGCATATTTAAATCGGTCTTTTGAACAAAATTCAGGTGTCGACTAGATGTAGCATTTTTTTTTTCACTCTGTATTATGCATTTGGAATAATGGTAATTTCTGGAGAAAAGACAGCTCTCTGAAACCTTGTGGGAAAAACATTCTATGATCCCCTTCCAGAGACTGGCAGAATGGGTGTCGGTGCAGAGCGTGTCAGCCTGGCCAGAGAAGCGGGGCGAGATCAAGAAGATGATGAAGATTGCGGCTAAGGACATCGAGAGGCTTGGAGGCTCAGTCGAGCTGGTCGACCTCGGAAAGCAGAAGGTGAGGTTGGAGCTCCAAGCGATTCGGGCTCCAAGCACTGAGTGACGCCTGTAAACAGGTCATGGGGCGAACAATGGAATGAATTACTTCTAAACATAAGCTAAACATAAACATGTACCTTAACCAGAGGGTTGCAGGTTCGAGCCCCGGGTCCTCCTGACCCCATCCAAGTGTCCTTGAGCAAGACACTGAACCCCAAATTACTCCCGGTGAGCTGGTTGGCGCCTTGCATGGCAGCCTTCACCACTGGTGTGTGAATGTGAGTGTGGATGGTGAATGTGAGGCATGTATTGTAAAGCACTTTGAGTACTCGTAGGAGTAGAAAAGCGCTATATAAATGCAGTCCATTTACCATTTAACCACTTTTACTGTGTTCAACATGAGAAATCATCAAGTTGTCTAAGTCTCTAATACAGGGGTCTCCAACTCCGGTCCTGGAGAGCTACTATCCAGTAGGTTTTCTATCCTACTTGGCTTCTGATGAGCCGTACCTGTTCCTGGTATTTACCTGAGAACAGGTGTGGCTCATCAGAAGCCGGGTAGGATAGAAAACCTACTGGACGGTATCTCTCCAGGACCGGAGTTGGAGATCCCTGCTCTAATAAATAAGCTCATGTTCACCTGATGGAGTCTGCCCAAGGAGTTACAGCTGAATATTATCAGGTCATTAAGATTTATTGCCTCTTCTGGTTTTGAGGAGTGATCTTGTGACCCTTTTACGTAACCGGTGGTGTACCAACGGGAGCAAAGGTGTCCGGCCGCTTGAGAAGGGCTTCCCGTTTCCACACAGACAGAACCTGGTGTGAGTCCTTTAGTAACTTCAGAAATGTCAGGGAGTTCATTTCGGCGTCTCTCCACCTCAGCTGCACAGCGGAGAAGAAATCCCTTTACCTCCCATCATTTTGGGCCAGCTGGGCTCTGACCCAAAGAAGAAAACCGTGTGTATCTATGGTCACCTGGATGTGCAGCCAGCCAACATCGACGACGGTTGGGACACGGAGCCCTTCACTCTCGTGGAGAAAGATGGTGGGAACACTTTCATTTTCAGATTTTCTCATCCTGTTGGTACTTGTGTTGCAGGTTTCCACTGTTTTGAAAATCAGCATCAGGTATTTCTGGTTCATTAATGAATGAAGAATCCACTTATGTTCAGAGTTCAGGTTCACGTAGATAGACTCCTTTACAAAACTGAATTGACCATCGATCTCTTATGTAATGCTTGTGAAGTCCTTTGTGGGTACCTGGAGAATTTCAGGCACTTAAACCATTTGTGCAGAACCTAGGGCGTGTTTTTGCTGCAAGAATTAAAATCCTGGTTGTCTTGGTAATATTGTTGAAAAATTTGGCAGGAAAACCCACCGGCTTTGTGAGGAAATATGGGAATAGCATTGGATTTCGACGTGTCTGACTGGCTTCCCTAGCTGCCCTTTCTCACATTGCCTCCTTGACATTGTGCTTTCCAGGGAAGCTGTATGGACGAGGTTCCACCGATGATAAGGGCCCAGTTCTAGCCTGGTTTAACTGCATCGAGGCCTATCAGAAGATCCAACAGGTACTGTTTTATGTGGTTTTCGAATGTCTCGTTTAACGTCTGGGAAGGCAATCCACAGCTCAGTTCCGGGAACGGGCCCAGACTTGCAGGCGTTAAATCACTAAGCCAGGAGATTTGACCTTTAGGTATCAGGGTATTCACCCAAAGAATGATTTAAGGCCTTCTGGAGTTTAATTTGTAGCTACTTGTGGTATTTGATAACATGTCCCAAGTTCTGGTCTATTTTCATTTGGGAGTCACAGTTAAGGGAATGAGTCATTACCGCCTGACCATTAATTGAGTAATCACTGAGTTTGAATAATAGTCAGCAATGTAAACTTTCCTGTCAGCGTAACACTTTACAAGTCTACATGAACAAGCTTGACGAGCAGTGAGCTGTATAAGGCTTAAGGACAACTCGGAGACATTGGGCAGCAGCTGTTCCTGTCCTGTTTTGTTTTTTCAGTAGTAAAAGTATTATTAGTACTGAAGTATGATCATTCAGTAATAATGGTTATTACTGATAATGTGCAATGTGTATATATTATGTTGTGGGGTTATTATAGCTACTAAAACTGAAACTAGAAGTGAACAAAATATTTTTTATGTTATATTTAACTGTAATTTTAGTAGGCCTACCTTAATGTTATCCCAATACCTACTGTCAAGGTTAAAACAGGGCTGGTGGCATTGCAAATTATTGGTACAATCTTTCACACATTCAATTTTAAGTAAAGTTATTGATTGTGAGTGTTTTGAAATCGGTGTATTAAACTTTGTTTCAGGATTTCTCTGAACGCCTTTTACTATAATTGTATGGTTTTTTTACTTTAATATTTCTAGGAATGATTCCTCACCAAAATACTTCACACTTTGTCCTTAGTGGTTTCATGTGCAAGGCATGTGAGTCACTTCCAGTATGGTATCAAAACATGGTACTGAAAGGTAAAATTAATACT